TCCAAAAACCCTGCTCCACCAAAGGCAGCAGAGCTGTGGCCTCAACTCCGTCTGTGACAGGCTGACAGCCACCTTGTAGCTGAAGTGGCAAGTTCAGATGTAGAAGAGGAGCATGAGGCATGGGAGTTAGCAGGACAAGCTGTGGCACAACATATGGAGGCAGGAGCAAGCTGGTGAGTGACAGCCAGGGGAGGTGAGCTAATGCCTACAGGGTAGATGGAGCATCTTTACCCCTCTGTCAACTTCGCTTGGTGACCTTGAATTGAAACATGAATATTTTTACTAAAGGTGATGCATATGTACCCTATATGTTCTCAGGCTCATCTATAAGCAGTCTGCTTGCATGGCTTCCTATTTCTTTCCGTTACTGGGCAAAAAAGTGATTGGAAGAGTACATAGAAGCTTACCTTCAAAGCTGACTGTCACGGCTGCTTGGCCTTTAGTTTGTGACCTCACTAGGCCACATACTCCATTTTGATCTTCTAAAACTCCTGTAGGAATCATTCCCATAAATTGTACCGACAAGCCCCTGGGAGGATGAATTCAGTCCTTCATCTGCACATTTCCTCTAATTTTCTACTCTCCATCCCCCTGATTTGGAGATCAATCATCTCCCTCCATTCACACTGCTCCTGACATTACAGATGCTAAGAAAAATCAAAATAAGCACATGTACTTAGTATCTTCCTCCTAATCTTTATATCTTGATGATAACATATCTATTCACCCTCTCTTTCTATTCCAGAGTTCTTTTTGTGATTTAGGATGCTTCCCAAGTTTTTCCAAATAATATAGAACCCTGTGGCTCAAATGGGAAACAAACAGGAAGATAGGCAGGGGTGCTGTTTACCAAGATATTTTCTGTATTGGTTTTGCATGGCCAGGTTTTGGTAGATGGGGGGCTATATGGGTGGCTTCTGTGAGAAGCTGCTAAAAGCTTCCCATGTCCAACAGAATCAATGCCACCTGGCTCCATAATGGACCTGCAGCTGGCCAAGGCAGAGCCCACCAGTGACAGTGGTAGTGCTTCTGGGGTAAGAATTAATCATGGAACCATAGAATGGTTTGGGTTAGAAGGGACACTTTTCAATGGAGTTTTCATCAGTGACCCCACATTTGAGTCATTCTGACCCAGAGAAATGTCCTGTTCTCCGATGAAATCTTAAAAATTATATTCCAGTTTAACAGAGAGTCCTGCCTCTTAAATAACTAAAATACTCTTTAGTTGGCCCAGAAATTTCATTTAAGGATTAGTGAACCCTGTTTTGCCTATCATGAGTAATTTACCTCAATTTTGTCCACTCAGAAGTGGTTTTATCTTAACAGAAATGAAAGCAAAGAATTTCACTTTGGTCACTTAAGAGAATCTCTTCAGTGAGTAATCTTGGCATGAGCAGTGACATAATACCAAGGATTTTAAATCCAAACTAAGCCCTGCCCTTTCTTATTATTATCATTTTTAGCTTATACCTTCAGCTCAGGAAATGTTTCATGAATATGCTACTAATATTTGTAATTGCATTAGTATTCTAATATTCCATAATTTCAAATGGAAATACATCGAACCATTTTGCAATATTTTGTAAGCTTTATTTCATTACGTAGGAAGCTTCACTTATTAAGGAAGTTGTGGCACCTGTATCGGTGCCATTACGTTTGAGAAACATGTTTCTTCATCCTTGGTTTATATTTATGTTCTTCTCCTTAACTTTTTCTTTTCTTTTTAAATAATGGTTGCTTGCAAGACTGTGCAAAGCAGGCTTAGTGACAAGATTATGCTGAATGTTTTGCATGAAATATTTTGCTGAAGAATCTCTGATTCCTTCCTGCATTCAGAGCAATTTACAGGAGTTTCTGTAGCTGTGATGAGGAGTGGCTCACTTTTGTGGGGGCTTGGCTACACAAAAAATCAGCTGCTGTATCAACTCTTCAGAAAGGATTGGGGTAATATGCCACACTAATGCAAAGTAGCAGATGTGAACCTTTTGAGAATTTAAAAATATGGCATTATCTTCTCTGCCCAAACTACTTCTGTACTCAGAGTAAACTGAGCAGTTATTTCTCAACGGAACATTTCAGATAAGAAGCAAAAATGTAAGAATCACATCTATGAGAGAAACAATAACAATTTACAAATACTGAATAAAAATACATGTAATGTTTTAATAATTTAACATTTTATAAAATTAAATTATAATAAATCTAGTAATTTTTCCATGTGAAAATTAAAAAGTCTCCCACTAAAATGGTTTCTAAAATTATGTCATTATTATTAATAATAATAATAATAATATTTTTGAAAAGATAGAGTCAAAGAAATGGTAGTGAGCAATCAAAAAAGCTGAATGAGAAGCAAATATTTTAATAAATATCATGGAAACTTTGTTTTGTGTTTTGCACTGATTGTGTTGCAGCTGCAGTCATTCTTTTCAAGTCATTAGTTTCATTAAACTAACTCTACTTAGGATCAGCTCTATAAGTACAGTAACATCATACAGTTTACAAAGATCTGGAACCTTTTTCTAAAGCATGAAACACATATTTTTTAAAAAAAAATTAGTTCATTGAATGGTAGCTTTTCAAGGAGCTAACTTTTAAATGGTTTTAGTCAGTGGTAAGAGATGGAAAGACTGTCCCCTTGTGGATAGGAATATGAGGAAAAGTGATACTGTAACTCACTGATAGCAGCAGCAGTAACCCCAGGCATTTGGAGTCTTCATTAAGAAATTGGCTAGAATCCTGCCTTGCACATTGTTCATAAATCAACACTCAAAAGTACAAAATGCTATGAAGAGCCTTTTAATTTAAATTGGTTGGCCTGACAAATAGCAGAGGGTAAAGACTGAGCTAATGTAACATCCTTGTTAACACTATCATTCCAGGCTAATACCTAAATCTAACTACTGCAGGCAGCTGCAGTGTGGCCTGCATTTAAGAAAGCTTTTTTGAGAAGAACAGCTTCAGAGCAGACAATGGGAGAAAGCTCCACAATAAAGACAAACCCTTACGGTATATCTATAAACCAGTGTGCTACCCACACACATGCATCTGTCAAATCTTGTGCTACAGCATCCATCTACAGGGCAAAGCACCATTGTCCTCACTTCTGAGTTGCACTGACAGAGGGACTGGAGGAGGATTGGTGCACAGCCAGCTGAAAATCCTCTCCCCTGCCTGCAGATGTTAGATTATCCGTCAGCGCTACAGATTCCCCACACACATTATCATATCTGACCCACGAGAACTACCAGAACATGCCAGCACCCCATCATCTCTCAGGTTTGGGTTAATCAAGGGCAGCTTCAAATTTCTCCACAGGAAAGCAGAACTTCGTGGGGCTTCCAAGAACTTAATTCGGCTGCTGAGATAGTGGGGGATGTTTCTTATAGGAAGTGTTCTGTTTTATGAAGTCCAGTCCTTCCCTAATGCAGCCAGTTACAGCCACCCTAACACGTTTATCTTGTTTTGCCTTTATTAAGAATTCTCTCCCAATTACTTCATTTGCAAGAATTTTTTGAAATATCATTAGAAACCTCACAAATTTTAGCTTGGCCATATTGACAATCAGTGTATATCTATTCACTATATTATCCTTTTGTTTAAGCAGCTTTTTTTAACACCCTATAATCCTTGGTAGAGAGTAATCATATCTCCTCTTAGCCTTTGCTTTGTCCAAATAAGCAAGGCACATGACTGCAACTTTATTGTACAGGCCAGGCTCCCCAAATGCCTTCATAATGTGATGTGTCACCTGAAAGCATACTGTGGGCTCAACTTCTTCCACCAGCAGTCACTCAAGAGTGTACTCAGTCTCATCAGTACAAAATCTTACTCTGTTCCTAATAGAAACACTTTGACTGATGTCTCCTTTGCTAATATTGGTTCTTTACACAGTCACATCTCAGAGGTCACTCCTTAAAAGCCTAGCTAACTGAGTAGCTGATTTTATCTGTCATTTCCTACTGGTTGTAGCAGAAATTCTCATTCTTCCAGCAATGATTGAGAAACAGGTTGCTGACACCCTTTGAAGACTTTCTACCAAAAAAGTCCTGAAGGTTTGTGGCTAACCAGTCCGATACTGGAAAGCTGAGGTGCAGGTTGGTGTACAGGGTGAAGGGAAGATAGGCCTGAAATAATATTTGGCCTTTGATAGGAGAACATTTGTGGAGTCACCATCCCTGGAAGTGTTCAAGAGGCATCTACATCTGGCACTGGGTGATACGGTTTAGGGCTTACAGTGGTAGTGCTGGATTGACAGATTTGGTCTTAAAGGTCTCTTCCAACCTTGATGATCTTATGATTATATGATCATGGATTCTGCTAGGTGGAGCTCACTGAGTCACAAATTGTCCCCACAAAAAGCGAGTGTGTCACATCTACTACTCTGTGACACACGAACAGACCAAGGAGTTATTCAAAAGGTCAAAGATGACAATATAAAAACCCGTGGTGAGTAATGGCAGGCCTAGATAGACACAAATATTTGAAAACTTATATTAGCACTGTCATTCAGATATATCCCATTCCTAAATTCATGGCACTGGGTGAGTTCCACGTGCACACTGACAAATGGCCAAGGGCCTTATAATTTGGACAATGTGGGATACTGGTAAAAACATCCAGACATACATGCAACAAGTCTACACTGTTGGTACAGATTTTTTATTTTTTGGTTTTTTGGATGTTACAGGTCGCTTTGACTGTCAGATGAGAACAAACTAAAAGTGAAAAAGAGGAAATTCTTAAAACCTGTTTCCTCTATCTCTGTCTTTAACGCTAGGAATCAATGAGAAACCAAACTGTTTATTTCTGTACTTCATGGGGGAAGCGTCATGGGGGTTGTGAAAGTTCCCTCTTTCCTTCCCGGTGACGAAACTTCATGAAAAAAAAAAAAAGCTCGTTTTTGCATAATTTCATAACCCTAGTTCGGGGCAGCGGCTGAGGCGCAGCCTGAGGAGCCTCCCTGCCCTCTCCCGCCCCGTCCCGCCCCGTCCCGTCCCCCCCCGGCACGGCCCGGCCCGGCCGGCACTCGGCGCCCGCCATGGCGGGGCCGAGGAAGGGGCCGGGCGGTGCGGAGGAGCCGCCGCCGCTGCTGGTGAAAATCGTGATGGCCGGAGAGTCCTGCGTGGGGAAGACCTCCATCGTGCGGCGGTACACGGAGCCCGATTCGCCGCCCGCCGGCACTCCCGCCACCTCCTACTTGGCCACGATCGGTGAGTGACCGCTCCGTGTGCCTCCGCCCGCCACGCTCCCTCGCCTTGCCCTCTCCTCCCCCGGTGCCCAGGGCTCACACACGGCCGGACCGGCGCTGTCAGCGCGGCGCTGCCGGTCTGGGAGATGTCAAATCTCCCTCTGCTGAGCTCTGCGCGTGTCCAGCCGCGTCCAGCAACTTAAACCTTTGCCAACGTGTCAGGACATGTGTCACCCAGAGCCACTGCAGAGTGCTGGCCTGTTACACTGGCTTTGCTGTTCATCCGGGCTTTGGGAACCTACTCCCATTTTAAATTTACGAAGACAACTTGTTCTTACTGTTTCTATTGCCCACGGAGGCCCTGCTGCTGTGCACTGGTGTGGGTGCATAGAAAGCCGTACGGAATCACAGAATCAATTAGTTTGGAAAAGACACTCTGAGATCATCAAGCCCAACTTGTGACTGAACACTGCCCTGTCAACTAGTCCATGGCATTAAGTGCCATGTCCAATCTTCCCTTAAACACCTCCAGGGATGATGACTCCACCACCTCCCTGAGCAGTCCATTGCAATGTCTAATCACCCTTTCTGTCCAGTCTAAACCTTCCCTGGCACAGCTTAAGGCTATATCCTCTTGTCCTATTGCTTGTTTCCTGGGAGAAGAGGCCGACCCTGACCTGGCTACAATCCTCCTTTCGGATACCAACCTCAAAGAAATGTCAGATGCCAGTAAAATGCCCAGTTCCTCAATCTTTCAGGCTAGAAAGGGATTTAGCTTTTCACTAATAGTTTTAATGGTATAAAGTCAAAATATGTACTACTGTAGGTAGCTGCATGCATGATGATTAAAGAAGAGCCAGACCACGTCCATTCTGTGCTGTACCACCATGCTGCCTCCTCCAGCACCACTGCAGATGGGTGATGATGGGGAACTTCCCACTGCCTTGGTGTCCCAGCCCCACAAGCTGACTGTCCACATGCTGAAACTTGTGTCATGAGCAGGCAAACGTGTTATGTGTGTGCAGTAGTTTGATTTGCTGTGGAGATTTTCCTAATTTTTGCCTGGGAAATTTTCATTTATAAAAGTTTGTGTGTATGAGTTTTGGGTTTTTTTTTTCATTTTATTTGCTCTTGAAGAGAAGACTAAAGTATGCCAAGAAATTGTGTATTCCTGCATTTGGAATATGCATGGCTCTTTAAACATTTTTCAGTCTGGGAGGGGTTGGCTTATCTGAATTAAATAACAGATAGTAGCTGTGGCAGTAGTTGGTCCAGGAAATACTTAATGTACATGAGATGACTTGACCTGCCTGCATGAGAACAGCTGAATTTAAACCACTTTTTATTTTCTTGCCCATTCTTGCAAAACTGTCTCTGAAACCATCATGAACAAGGAGGGAAGAACAGAACTAACAATGAAGTTGGGAAATAGATCCTAATAACAGGCAACTTGTTGCCAGGCTTAGCAAGGAACTCCAAAGAATGCCCATGAAAATAAACATCAGCTTTGTTGATGTGTTTTATACTGGGACAGAGATTCCTGACCATGAGGTTATTATTTTGAGATACAATTTCTTTTACTCCTAATTCAGTTCCCTGCAGACTCAAAACCTTTTCTAAAGTGGTGATATTAAGAATATGGTTTCCAAGTTATAACTTAAACTATTTGAAGGAATGGTGAAGATAATATGAGTTTTTGTGACAGTTATGGACTGAGATTACCTTTGTTAGTTTTATTACTGACACCTATTATTGAGAGATTTAAAAACTATTTGTGTAAATGAATCATCCAGATGTGGTTTTTGTTACCTGAATATATTATTTCTGAAATACTGTGTTCCATTTAATTCCATCTTAACAGGTGTATTAGAGCTTAGCCTTTAAAAACAATTGGGATTGTGAGTGATGTCTTCCAAAAGAATAATATCAGAAGTGAAAGTTTCTTTTTTCATGTAGACAGCTACAATGGAGAAGAAGCCCTATAGGTTGTGGCTCCTAAAGTTGTAAAGGAAGAAGACACAATACAATGTTTTCTCAGTTCCTGACGTCTTCTCCCTCATTGTTGATGCTGTCAAAACAAGTAACTGTTTTTATCTGTCTGCCTGTTTCATACAAACTCAGCCAAATGATCCCTTTCTGTTGTGCAGCCTATTAAATGCTCATCTGCTGTTAACTGATTTTTCACCTTACCTGTCCAGGTGAAACGTGATTTGAGTAGAGGGAAGATTATCCCAGCTGTGCAGTGTTGCAGCCTTCTGAGTTCCCTGACAAATTCATGTGCCCCCACCGTCCTTAGTGGCAAAGAGTCATATGCACAGAAGTTAAAAGTCTCTTTTCTGTGTCGTCATGAATCACAGCTTTGTGTTACTAGGAAAAATTCTAGTGTTATTGCAGGGAAAAAAACAACCAAACGTTTTATAATAGGCCTCCGTAGTAGCAATCTTTTCTAAAATTATGTATTTCATGAGAAAAAGCAAAAAATGCATTCACAATAAATTTTCATTGAAAACTTTTAATGCATCACTTAAACACTGAAGGCTGGGTGCCCTTCCTCCTCTTCAGTTACACAGTTTGGATAAATTATAAGCATTTATAGTTTTCTGATTAAACTTGTATGCATCATAAGGCGGATGCATTGTATTATGAATAGACTAAAGAATAAATGTTTTTGTTTAAACAATGGCATTGCATATAAAGCCATAGAGTAACTTTATGAACAAAAAAACCCCTTCTCTACCAGTGAACAGAATTGTGATCTCATGGACTGTGAGGTTATTTTGCTGTATTAATGGTTGCTGTGGTCCTGCAGCCCACATGTTTTCTTTGAGAAACATTTCTGCAGAGCTCTGAGTCCTCTCAAGTCTGTCGTAGTTGAAAGTGGTACAACTTCAGCATTAGGATTAAAAAGTCTGTGTAGATGCCCTGATACTTACTTTAGAAGGAAATAAAGTAGAGCTAATCAGCAAAAATGAACCATAGTGAAGGTATGTGTTAAGACCATCAGTAGCAATCCACATCTTAATTCCTTTTTCTTTTTTTTTAACAAGACTGGATTTTTTGTCACTGTTACTTTGCTGTCAAACCATCTTATCTTAGCAAACCAGCAATTATCATTACTTGAGGCCACTCAGATACCACACCACTTCAGATATTTCTTGACATGTACAGGAAAACAGCCTGATACAAGTAGTACACCAACAACTAGTAGGGGTTAAGTATGGGTAGAAGTAACACAGTGGAAATTCAACCCACAACATCTCACTGGGTGCTTGCCCAGTTTGGGCACAGGAGCTGATAGCAACTGTTTCCCTATTTCTGGAGTTGAAGACAATGTATTGACAGTAAGTGGGCATTCACCATGTTCTTACTGTTGCATCCTGCTAAGCTGCTCAAACTTGCATTTTCTCTGGATACACATATTTTTTTAGCATTTTCTGTCAGGAACTCACCAGCTCTGTTGGAGTGAAAAGCATGTTGTCATTTCTAGGCCAACTGCAAAAGACCTCTTTGAAGAGGACTTATGCAGATGGCCAAAGCCTACTTTAGAGATACTGAGGGAAGAGAGGGGCATTTCACAGATGAATTACCCTGAATTACTGACTATTTTTGTGCGTTTTAGACCTAATTGTCTATAAGGTGCATCAGTCCTAATATGTGAACATTTGATCTTTGGAATACAAAGAAAAGAAATTAATTTCATGGCTATAAAACTTGGAAATAACAGCTAGAATTTGAACTTGCACCCAGCATACCCCCTCTTGGTTTCATTTGACAGCCTAAAAGAACCAAGTACAAGCTGTTGCATTCCAATAACATTTATCTCCAGAGCTGTAATCAATGCTCGCTTTGTTATGTTGATCATGTTGTACAACACTTAGGCCTAAAAGCATCTGAAATCTGTGAGCTGTCTTTGGCATTGTGGTTCTCATTTTTCTTTTCTGTCTTTGCAATTTGCTAAGTTTGCTGGAAATTTCATATAAAGACATGAACAATTCATGCATGCAGAACATATTGACTTCTGTTTTTCACTAACATTCATTGACCTTTTAGGTCAATAAATTTTGAAGTTGACTTAAGAAGTCAATACCCCTGATTTTAATTTAGATTAAGTTTTAGTCTGATTCAGCATTCTGCTTCCCTTTTTATAAATAAATAAAAAAAAAGCTTATAGCAATTATTATTAAAATGTATGTCAGCTAAGAACTTTCTCATATAGGTCTGGGAATCCCTGTCTGGTTTACAATTTTTTGCTCTATTCCCAATCCACCATTTGAAAGCGATGTTTCAGCCTCTCAGTGTGTACCCTGTCCCTCTCAACATCAATTGTAGAAAATGATACAGATAATTAAACAAAACCGTGTGAATTTCAGGAGCAAATGTTTTCCATCACGTTGGAATTTCACCTTACATGAGCAAATTTGACTTAAATTACATTTCCATCTGACATTATTAATTCCATCAAGGAAGCTTTGTGTAATACTAATTACAGATACCAATTATACTATTTCATCTTTCCTTTCCATTGAAGCTTCAATGAAAATTCATCAAGTGAAGGACATGATTATCATAATAATTTTTTAAATCTACCTCAACTCCCGTATCACATACACACAAAAAATGTTAATGGCATTGGAATCATGCATGTGAGAGTGTACTTGTCAAAATTTTGTGCACAATACATCTGTCAGTACAAAGGAGGGGAACATTTCCTCTGTTGCATTTTTTAGTTTGCTGACATGGATACTTTGCTTTGATAAATTAATTTGGCAGTCAGGTTCTTACAGAAATCAGTACAGTGTTATTAACCTAAAATTTTTGTGATTTTTCAAACTGTCTAGGTCTTTCAAATGACATTACCACAGGTGAAAAGCCACTCTGATGTAATTTTAAGTAGCTGTAGTTTGATCTTATGGAATTTTGACTGTACAGTATGGTCAGCTGTTGCAACGCCACCTTAACTTCTCTTAATATAATTGACAAAAAAACCTTTGTTGTTTTTTAGTGGGGAAAAAAAGCTATCAGAGAAATTATCAAATGTTATTTCAAACTTCAGCAATAAAGTAATAGGGAAACAATGGTTAACTCTGAGAAAAGTGCCACTCTAAGATAGCAGCTGATAGTTGGCTGATTGTAGTATTGAAACTAGAACTTTAGCAGCCCATAAATGCAGGTATAGTCTACTACATTTGGAGTACTAATTTGATAACATAATGAAGGAAAACACCATAAATTATAAGGAAAATAACTTTGAGGAAAGATCTGTAGTCTATGTAGAGACAACATTCTGCACTGATTTCAAATATCAGTGCTTGCTTTTAGAATTCTGGATCTGTGATACACTGTGATTTAGGCCGTAGAGACAATCCTCTTCATATTGAATTAAATCCCATGTAAGATTTGTGTTCGCGTGTAATTAGTACAGCCAGCTCCTATTCCTGTTCATGTAACTCTGGATACTTTTTTTAGGGATTTGGAAATAAGGACAGAAAAATGGTGTGGCACGTGTAATGGCTTTGTAAGCATGCCTGCCTTCCCATTCATAGCTGCCATGCTGTTGAAAATCACCAAGATATTTGCACAACGTATTATTGTGCATGGGCCGTGGAACTGCTGTCATGTCACTTGCCTATCCATGGAAAGACCTACTTGTAGTTTTAGAGTATCTGCACCTTTGCTTTGGCCTGCCCCTTCATTGCTTGGTCTTGGCATTGCTTTGTATTGTGTTTGTGCAATGTATTGGCACATGGCTGCTTTGATCATTGAATAATTTCCTTCTACAACTTCCATTTTGAATGTATATGGTTGGCTAGTCATTCTTTGTTTGGTGTTGTTCCTTTTCACTTTCTGTTCAAAATTGCACCATAACTAGAGCTAAGAAACACTATTCAAAGGGAATCCATGTTTGTATGAGAAATGTTACAGATTTTCCTTTTTTTCTTTTAGGCATTGATTTTAAAGTAAAGCTAGTAATGTTTAATGACACAAGAGTGAAACTTCAAATATGGTAAGTTTTAATTTGTATCACAATTGAAAGCCAACTAAATTGCATTATGACCTGAAAAATCTCATCTGCTTTTGATCGTGTCTCTTCCTGACATGCAGGCGTTCCTACTAGGTCATTTTAAAATTTGAATTTAGCCTAGAGGAGCACATTTTTTGCAGCAACTAATGTAAATTTAAAATAGGGTTATCCCTGGGTTACTTTGGCAGTAAAACTTGCAGCATACAAACAGTGCAGATCTATGATCCATATTAAGCATATTTAATTGTATAGGTACATCGAGGGAAGTGACAAAGCAAAAACATTTTACAGTTCATTGCCCATCAAATGCATGTTCAAAAGCATCACCAAGAGAAAGCCACTAAGAGGAGTCTGTGAACATACACTATTTTTTGGTTTGGAGTTTTTTCTAAAGGGCTACTGACAGCCGTCTCTCCAGGCATCCAGTACTGAATGTTGTTTATACTTACCGGTATTTAACTTCTCAGGGAATAAATCTGTACATGAATTACCTGACCATTATTAGATCCACAGTTATTCTGTCTCAAGCTTTAATACAAAAGTATTGGAGGCTTGTTTACAGCGTTCTTAAGGCATAATTATGTGTAGGAGTCACTGCATCCCTGTATTTTGTAGACTTTTTCCTGAAACCTGTCTTCCATCTAAACCAGCTTACTATTGGCGTGAGTTTACATAGGGCTTGTCAGAATATGGGGATGTTACCTGACTCCTGCAATGCTTGTACTACAGATTTTTTTTATCACCTGGGTTGTACTGATCATAATTATTATGTATATAAAGAAGCAACGGTGGACTTGACATTACACTCAGACTTCAGCCACTGGTTTGGCTTCCTTAGTAGGGCTGTATTATTCAGTATAAATTTCCAGTGTATTTCTTTTAATGCTGTGTCTCTCATCTGTATCTTTTCTTGTTCCTTTCACATTAGAGTATATAATTCAAAATTTGGACAATACTCCTTAAAATAAAGTGATTTTTCTTGGAGGTTCTGCAATTTGATCTTATCTTTGTGTGTGTGTGTGTGATTTATTGCAATTTCTTTCAGGGATACTGCTGGCCAGGAACGATTCCATACACTTAGTACTAGCTATTTCCGTGGTGCACAAGGCTTTGTTCTTGTATATGATATCACAAATCTGAAGAGTTTTCAGAGTATAACAATGTGGATGCAAGACATATATGAGGTAAATATATCTGTCAGTGGTTGATCTCCTAATGAAAGTAATTAATGTGTTGTTTTAAATGTCTGCATGAGATCTATTCTTGTTTCTGTATGTTTATAACCAGAATTTCTTGCATTTAACTAAGCACACAGTATGATAGTAGAATTACTGTCATTTGAAACTGAAACAGAATGTATATTATCCAGGACAAGCCCATGGTGATGCAGGAATGTTTTCTGAAGTACTTGTAAAACATAGCTTACAATTCAGGTTTGCGCATGCTGAGTTATGATGCTTTTGTCACTGGTGTGGCTACACATAAATCAATCTCCATGAGCTCATCCCAGGATTTTAATTGGTTTCTGTATGAAAATTCCATATCACAGCCGGTTATTTCCCTTTTCTATTTTCATTACTTTAGTGTAATTACCTCATCCCAAGATCAAAGGACTTAAACATCCTCTTTGTCCTTGCTGGATATTCCTTGAGAGGATGGTTTCAAGAGGGAGGAATTGGGGTGGGAAGCTGTTTGTTTAGCTCAGCTGCTTGTGGTGCTGCAGCCAGAAACACGTGCTTTCATGTAAAATAGGAAGTGATTCAACAGCACATGACTGCCAGACAGGGAGTGTGTTCCCACCTCCCTGCTCCTAAACATTGGCTCCCACTGTGCTGCTTTTGGAGCTTGTCAAGAGCCCTCTGTGGTTCACTCTGACTTTCTAATGCAGTGGAAAACTAACAGAGCAAAAAAAGTTGGATGGTTTTTCTGCTCCATCAGTGAGTTTAAGAGGCTAATAGAATGATCTGACACTTATTGGAGTTGGTGCAAGGTAAACAGATAGGAGTAGGAAGGCAAAGAAAGAAGAACGTATGGGAACAATGTGAAGGGAGGAACCAGGGAGGGAGGAGTGGGCAAACCCTTAGACATAAGATCGTTCAGCTGCCTGTAACCCTGTATTCCAAGTCTTTATTGCTAGGTCTCTCTTGTTGTGTTCTCTGTTAGGTAGCAGCAGGTCAGTTTTAGAATAGAATAGTTCAGCTGTAAGGGACCCTCAGTGACCATCCAGCTACCTGACCACTTCAGGGCTGACCAAAAGTTAAAGCACATTATTAAGGGCATTGTCCAAATGCCTCTTTACTTGGCTTGGGGAGTCGACCATCTCCCTAGGAAGCCTGTTCCAATGTTTGACCACTCTCTCAGTAAAGAAATGCTTCCTAATGTCCAGTCGGAATCTCCCAGGCACAACTTTTAGCCATTCCTACATGTCCTGTCTCTCGATGCCAGGGAGGAGAGATCAGCACCATTCCCTTTACTTCCCCTCCTCAGGGGGCTGCAGAGAGCAATGCAATTGCCCCTAAGCAGTAGTGTGGCAGTCTGTAGTTAGCACAGTTGTGTAAGTTAGTATGCTTGTGTAAAAATCCAAGCAAGGTAGTGCTCTTTGTTGATTAAAATCAAGTAAACATTCAGGCAGTTTTTTTAATGCTCTTATGATTTGGTGGGAATATGACATGATGGAGAGTTAATCCTTGGAAAGTGGGCTTGAAGTAAAACCATCAAACACATCATTTTCTCTCTTCACAGCTTCAGTATACAGCTGAATTAATGAACTACACATGGTCATATATCCAATAATACATACATAGGGTATCTTATACTTTTGGTAAAACATTACATTTACATTATCTCATTATTAACAACATTACCATGGTGACCTAGTATATCATTATCCTTGACCTTAGAGCCATCTTAAAAGTCCTAGTGGCAACAGAGCCTAACTGCAGTAATGTGTTACTGAAGGAGATTTGATGACACAATATTCTTGCTGGCTTTCTGCACACACTTCAAATTAAGACATCTGTTTTATTATTTTGTTAAGAAAAGCACATGCCCTTATGTTGGGCAAATAAAAGCCACACCTAGATATGCCACTGTTTGTACAGTTTCATGGTTAACAAAGATTTAACTCAGCACACAGTAGAATAGTATGTTTGCCGTAATCTGAAGCTGAAAATATAGATTATCCATATATATCCATTAATATCTATCTATCTATGCATGTATCTATATATCTGAGCATACAGATTTCTCTATAAAATACTGGTCTTTATTCACACTGGCTCCAAAGGGGTCATTTTGTCCTGTCATCTTTCATTAGATCAAAAGGGTGATTGATTCAGTGGGCTACAGTTCACAACCATAAACAGCAAGAGAGTTTCAGGTCTGTATGGCCAGGTTGGAGGGAAGTATGAGACTAGCACCTGTAGGCACCGTGAAGGCTTAGATCTGCTTAAGTCAGTCAGGAAATGACACCTGCACAAGCCTGCTTTCCGTTTGTGACACTTCAAAGCTTCCGTGTAAATGGAGTCAAGCTATTTAGACTGTTTAATCTTAACTCCTGAAGGTACTTTGTTAATTTAAAATTTAAAAAATCGAAAAATACTCAGTCTAAACCAATTTTTAGGAATGTAAATTGCATGATTGATTGTACCAATCTCAAAACTAGCAATTAGTGTTGTAATAGAGCTAGATAATAATAAAAAATTTAATTTAGTCCTAGTGGGATATCAATTTCTGAAGCGTCTTGGTAGAAATATATGGAGCCATTCATTGCAAAAGAAGTGTTTTTAAGCAATAACTGTTCAAAACCAGGGCATTTCATGAAAATTAATTACTTCCTGGAGGTCGGTGACATTCCCTGCATTTGCTTTGGTCTGTGAATGCAAACCAGTATTTAATTCCCCACAAATGCCCAGAATCAAAGTGGCTATTGCTACAGCACCCTTTGAAATATGCAGCATAGAAAAAATAAATAAGTTTTAAAAAGGAAAACAGATAGGATACAGACTTCATGAAATACCAGACTAACAGGTAGTGTAAAGCTTGCACCTGAACCAATCAAACAAGAATTTTTGAGACAATTCAGTTATTACATTATACTCTCATGTTTTAATTCTTTACACATAAAAATTTTAAACAAAGTTTTTTAAAAATCTGTTCAATGTACTAAGCCATTTTTACAACAGTTGAAAATAACAATCTAAGCAATTTAGCATTCTTAAGAAGTCCATTGATTTTATAAAAACTGTCCAGTCAGTGCAATTACAGTCAGATTGCCAGTAATGTTCTTATTATATTTCAGTTCTTTGAAATGTGGAATAAAGCAAATTTCCTATTAAAAATGAGTTATTGTTCAAGGAAGTTCAAGACAGAAATATGCTACCATATCTGTATTGCTGTAAAATTTATATTCAGAGCTAGAGGAAACTAAGTAACATGACTGTACTTAAAAATCTTAGTAGAAAAATATACTCACCCACAGATTAATATCTTAGGGCATTATTGGCAAATCCAGTACAGGTATATTGGATTTGTAATGCACTCATTAGGACCATGATAATTGCAGGAAAATTACTTTGAATCTGAAACCATTCTTTGTTTGTAGGATTGCAGGTTATGTGCAATTTATTAAAGTGTTCCTCTTGTCTTCTGACATGGCTTTTAGCTGTTGTATGTACCTGTTCTGAAAGGCTGATTCTGTTTGGCCTTTAAAAATTAAGTATCAGCAGCTGTGTACCAAATCCATTTACAGAAAGCAGTTCTTTCTAGAATGTTTTGAACAAGATTCCAACTAACACTGGCAAAAACTTCCTCACAATAGAGTGGTCAAATGCTCAAACAGGTGCCCAAGAGAGGAACTCTTAAAGGACACACTTAAAATGCCCGTCGACAGGGCCTTGAGCAACCTGACCTGACTTTGAAGTTGGCCCATCTTCAGGCAGGGGATTAGACCAAATGACTTCCAGAAGTCCTTGCCAACCTAAATCACTAATGGAATACATTAGCTTTCTATTTGTCCTACCTGAAGAAGTGACCCCTTGACCACTATATAAACTGTATGGGTGTGTTGGGTTGCTGACATTTTCGCATAGTGCCCTTTTTTGGTTCAGTTTATCTGTTACCTGAATATGTTAAGTTATTTCTGAAATACTGTGTTCCATTTAATTCCATCTTAACAGGTGTATTAGAGCTTAGCCTTTAAAAGCAATTGGAATTGTGAGTGATGTCTTTCAAAAGAATAATATCAGAAGTGAAAGTTTCTTTTTTCATGTAGACAGCTACAATGGAGAAGAAGCCCTATAGGTTGTGGCTCCTAAAGTTGTAAAGGAAGAAGACACAATACAATGTTTTCTCAGTTCCTGACGTCTTCTCCCTCATTGTTGACGCTGTCAAAACAAATAACTGTTTTTATCTGGTTTAAGAAGTGAAAGTATCGTTTCTTCCAATAACCTGTAAGTACAGATGTGGTGTAGTTCTCTTACAGTAAGGGTGTCTGCTGCTTTTCATACTCACATAAATTCAGAGCGCTTCTGGAAAAGAAGAACTGCAGAAAAAAAAGACCTAACATTTGAAAAGAAAAAAAAAACCCACGAAACAAATTACATACAAAGGGGATGAGCAAGGTATTTTCCCTTTTGCATTTTTGATTTCTGTTAGTAGCCATGTAGTCAGACAGTGATTTGTGTATGTGCTTGGTTGAGTGCCCAGGCTGGGTGAACATTAAGCAGGAGGGTGAAGGGCATGGGTGGGTGTCCCCTGTCAGTAGGTCACTAAAGAGGCCGTGGTGCTGTGGTGCAAATAAATGTCCAGCATTCCGAACGTAGTATGTGGCAGAGCTGGGTTTGAGGCTCTGCCGCTGCTCCCTCCCGTGGCCACTGCTCGGAGCAGCTTGACTCCTGCTGCCGCCAGATCTAGCTGCCTGGGAACCCAGAGAAAGAAAAGCCCTTTTGCCAAAACCTGGTGACTCCAAGCTTTGCCAAACACTTCAGAAAACTTGGTTAGTCTCAATAAATCTCTTGACTCCAATTTTTTGAGAGAAATATAGTGCTCATGTTTTCCTTTTCAAAATAAAATAGTGTAGGTTTTCTACCTATAGTTCAGGTTATTTTATTTTAAGCTTCAATAAAATGTAAACTTTGAAATATTAAAACCTGAGGGAAAACTGAGAGAGTGAACCAAAAATCTGGCATTTTTGACATACCAAAGCAAAACTTTTTTTTAATCTTTACCAAAAAAAATTTTTTTTCCTTGATGAAATGGATGAAATTTTTAATAATACTTCTCCATGATATGGGGGGAAAAATATTTCCTGAGTCTATGAGCTTACTCAGTGCTGACTTGCATAGCATTTTAACAACAGTAAAATAACCATCTTTTTGCATTTGAAAAGCTTATTCCCTAGCTATAAATAACAGTGTGAAAATACAAAGTAAGCTTTTGGAAGCACTGAAGAGCCATATTTTTGGCCAGTTCAAATCAGTGTACCCTTGCAGTTTTTATACCAACTGAGCACATAGTCAAACTTCTGCCTTGTCATATTGACTTAATTTTTTAAGTCTTCATCTACATAATCGGTTTTCAGAATCTAAAATGGACATCAGTTTAGTGTATAATCTTCATTTTTCTAAATACAAAAAACTTCAAGGCATCATCTTTAAAAAAGGAGTACTTTCAGTGCTTTGATGGAGGATCCAGGCAAAGTGAAAATACCTTAATACATTATATTGATATAGATTTAATAGTTATTTGCAGAAATAAATACTGATTGGTAATACTGATAAATACTTACTGAAAGGCCTGGTACCTCTAACTTCTTTTAAATTTTCTTATTGTTTGAAGCGCTTTAGAAAAAACATTCCCGCTGCAAAAATTTGTGCTGTTTATACAGAAATAAAGTTGCAGAATGAATTCAGTGGTTTTGTTTGTGCAGCATGCAAGTATTTGCCTTTGACCTTTAAAGTTAAATGTCTCTTATAATACGTTCATCAACAGTAACAACTTCTTCCAAATGAAAAGCTGATTATGTGATGAGATTAAGTTGTCTATTTACCCTATTTTGGGACTGATACATGTGATTTTATGTAGGAGAGCCATTGACCTTAATGAGTGAATCTCCAGTGCATTCCGAAATAGACAACATTTTGATCTGTTAGTCCAGGTTAGATTGATTCGCAATTTTAGGCCTGTACTTCCTAGTGTTATGTTAAATTTACTTCATTTTAATACTACATTATCTTGAACATCAAGTCTGGGTATGAAATAAGTTTAGCTTAGGAGAATGGATTAAAAAAATGAAATAGTGTTCCTTAATAATAAATTGTGCCTACTGCCGTACTCTTCAAATGAGTCTATTTGTAAAAGTACAAATAGACTAAAAGTAGTGATTCTCTCATCCTTTACTGAATAGAGGTTTTTCTCTGCATTTCTCTGAAGGGAAGGGCATGCATGCGTATGTGTGTGAGCTCTCAGCAAGATGATTGTGACTGATTCTGCATTATGGCAAAGTTATAGAAATTAAGATGGTGACAGAGATCAGAGAGAGATGTGCAGCCTGAGACCAGGCTTTTTGAGTCATCAAAGAAGCTGTGTGAGCATGTACCTCCAGAATAAAAGCCATGGCAGTCAGACCACGTTAGCTTCAATTGTCTCTAGAGTGAGACCCTCAGCTTCCTCCATTTAAGGACCAAAAGTGGTTTTAAATACTATGACTTTCACAACAAATGTCAGTTTTCAAATTCCACATTCTTTTGCAGAACTGTTCCCTTTCCTTGTCATTATTCCAGTCATGCATAGTTACAATAGCTTATCTTAAAATAACACTGATGTAAAGAACCCAGTGCTTTTCACAGTCATCATGCATGTGAGTGGATTAGAGGAATGAAGGATGGAGACAAGGTCAAAAAGGTAGATTTTTCTTCCTTTTGGGATCAATGAGGTTTTTAAATTTTACTTCATTAAAAATCTATTGCCTTCTTCCTAGTATCTTGGAATAATCAGACTTTTATGTTGAGTTTGAACACTTTGAATGTAATTTTACTGTCTATCTGCAAAAGTGAAGTACAGAGAGGTGCTCTTTCAGGTGCAGCAAATTCCTTCCTTTTTACTTGTGAGTGCCAGATGTAGACCGGAGTCATATGCTAATCCATGGATCTATTACTTTAGGGAGGGAAGTGTCTGTGAATTCAGGGCATTTCCACTCACTTTAAAGCCTCAAGATGGAGCACTCATCAGAAGATGGTGCCCATGCACCATATACTTTATTTCTTATGAAAGGGGTTGGAAATTATACATGGCACTTCTAAGTAGCTTTTTTCTGCTCTTTGCAATCTTGCTATTTCACTCCTAATCCCAGTAACTGATGGAAAATACTTCCACATATGAAGGTCAGGACAGAATTTAGCCTTTACTTTCAAGGAAGTGAAGTGCTGAGAGTTTGTGTGAGCTGAAGGTGAAGGACTTTTGTTGTTTGCTTTTTTCTTACTTGACATTTCTTAATGCTGGTTCTCTTTTAGAAAGCAGGTGATGAAGTGGACGTAATACTGTTGGGCAACAAGTGTGATAAGGAGTCAGAACGTGTAGTTCCAAAACAGAAAGGAGAAAAGGTATCATTGATACTTTCTTTGGGCTCTCCTGAGTATCTTAGTATGTCGCTGTGAGCTGTTAAACTGGAAATGGTGAAAAGCTCCTAAATCCCAAAAATTCTACTAGGGATTGCTCCAGAAGAACACTTGAGGAGTCCTGGAGTGTTGGGGGCTTTTTTAACATACGAGTAGAAACACATTAAGTAATTCCTAGATGGTCTCTTTAGAATACACTTTTAAAAGTTCGAATGCACTTTAAAAGTTTTAGGTGCCACAATAGAAATCTTTAATATAGAGTCTACATTTTCAGAATACTGTTGTAATACGGAATACTAAAATGTAATACATTCTGCATAATTTTTCTGGTACCACCCATCAATAATCTTTTTGCTAAAATCTGACTATAAGGAACTGTTCTGACAGCCTATGCAAAGTGATCTGCATTGTCTATGAATAGCCCTAAATAAGACTGGACAGGTACTGAACATCCAGCTCCCCTAGACCTAACTGTGTGTGTGTGGTACGGCTGAGACTACAGTATAGTTTATACCTGCTGACCATGGTTAGGGGAAGAACTGTTATTAAGTGGGGAGTGCTGTTTTAAAGGCAGTGACAATTTATTCTCACTGAGAACCAGTGAGGAAATTCAGAAGCCATGCTATGACAGAAGAAATTTTGATAATAACTAAATATTGCAGGAGAGCATGGCCTATATACCAGTTAATTTTGCTACTGCATACTGTATGCATCTGTTGCCTGGAACTTGGAATTAGCCCTCCTTTTTATGCTTTCAGGCATGGTGAGTCAGGCAGGATGTCCAAAGAAAAACACACTGATGATATCTTGCCAATTATATAAGCCCAGATTAGGGAACTTTAAAAAAATAACATCACCTTTTTGACAGCATTACAATCTTGCAAGTTCATTGTTTGTATGGAAGGTGCTTTCAATGTTAATTTACCATAACTGTTTACAAGGGATAAGGTTGCTGAAAAACACATATGTACTCTCATACAAAGAATGTACTGTCAGAAATCTAAAGAATCACTGGATGCATGTGCACAAGAGGGCAGTAGTAGGGTTTTGCATGTGGTATTAGGTGTGACATTTTCTGACTTCTGTGTTCTTAACCATGCAATCAAAATTTCTCTTAATAATGTATTTTTTTCAGAAACAAATAATTACCTCCTCTCCAGTGAGTGTATTTGCTAGATTTCCCCTGTGTTTTTAGGCAAGGCAACTCTTCAGTTATACTATTTCTTCTTTTAATATGATTTACAAGTGCTAAAGCATCTGACTGGAGAAATAGTCCATTAGCGGGGAGAGAGCTAGTAATTTTCCTCTCGCTCCAAATAAGAAAATATCCATATTAAGAGGGGAAAACAGTTTGATACTAAGATTGACACATAAAAATTCACACTTAGGTATTTCATATTACCGTGAGAGTATGAGCTGTAAGTATTGTTCTGCTCAGTCTCTTGCAGAGAAGCCCCTAGGTTCCCTGGGAATCTTATCATCTATGTTGTATGTCACTTCCTAGACTAATTTAATGCTGTGAATTTTTTAGTTACTCTCTTTTGTAATTATGTAATTTCAATCACTCAGAAATTGATATATTTAATTTTAACATTATCAAGTATAATTTTCTTGTATTAATTGCTTCTTATTCAGTTTGACAAAAGTGTTAACTCAAGGTTCTTGGGCTCCTCCGTTCACCCCCTCAGATATATTTTTCTTTTTCACTGAAAAATAAAAGATTATATGACTTGGTAGAATGTGGTAGTTTTTTTCCTATCAAATCTTTCTAACAGAAAAAGTCAAGTAAAATTTTCTACCCTTTTTTTTTTTTGCTTTTGCTGTCTTCATAGCTGAAGCTGATTTATAACTTCGAAGCTGATTTTACACGTACAATACAAATTTAAAAAAAATATTCTGCACAGCTCTAGGAATATTTCAGCCACATCTCTCTGATTCAACACTAAGAAATCATAGCAGGCCTTTGCCGGGAAGTAGTATATTTTGAGTTAAAGGAACAATTGGAATTAAATTTCATCTTGGAAGCGGTATTAGCATTACTTATTTTGTTACTGTAACACTGGCTCTCCAAACTGTTCTCAAGGATATTATAAAATAAAATTACCCAGTAGTATAATTCTGATAGATTTGTAAATGTCTTTAGATATTTTATTTATGGATCTACTCAAGATACTCCTAAAGGAGAAAAAAAGTAGTTCTTTGAATGTGCCTTTCCAGTTTCTTTATGGAGAAGGAGTAGCCAGATCTGTGTTCATGTTTCCAACTGCTTTAACACTGGACTGGTAGGGTTTTTTCCATCTAGTTACATTTTTAGAAGACTTGCTTGCCACAGAACTTACTGCTATGCAGGGTGAATTGAAATTATGCATACATTAATCTTCTTTGACCAATATTGTGCACATATAGAGAAAAATACAGGTGTATTGATAGATGTAGTAGACAATGTAGTAATATGATACAGAGAAGGCTGAAGTTTTTTGCTTTGCTTTGATTTGATTTTTCTTTTGCATTGGTCTTCAGAGATAGAGCTTGCAAGTCTATTTTTGGTCTGTTTGTCTTAGGCCTCTGCAGGTACTGGCATGGTTTGGAAAGGAGCAGGTCAGCCAGCAGTGGGAAAGCTTTGGATTAGAGACAGTTTAGGAAAGTTGGATGCATCCGTAGACGTGATGAAGTTCATCCAGTTGTGCCAAAAGACCTGTCAGTCAACTCTGAAAAAACATGGTGGTTGGAAGAGATCCCTTTTGACTAGAAAGATGCTGGCATGACACGAATCTTTTAAAAAAGGCAAGGAAGGGGCTTCAGGGAGCTATAGTCAGTCAGCCTTGCTTCAGTCATGTTGTTCAACGTCTTCATCAGTGATCTTGCTGATGATAGATGGAGATTTGCATGTAGCATGAGATTAAGGGGTGTGATTGGCAGATCAAATGGGAGAACAGCAATTCTGTAGGACCTTGATAAATTTCAGAACTGGGCCAACAGAAACATCATTAAATTCATGAAGCGCAAAGATTTGCACCTGTGATGGAGTAATCCCAGGCATAATTTACTGCTGCAAAGGACTCAAGTTTCTCTGAACACCAGCTTGAATATAAGTCAGTGGTGCTCCCTTATGGCTTAAAAGCATGCTGGGTAACATTGGAAGGATAGTGGATAGTAGATCTGGGGGGATTATTACCCCCCTTAATTGGTGCTGCCAAGGCTACATGGAATATTGTGCCCAGCTTTGGCTCTCCCATCTCAAGAAGGGTGTTGAGAAACTGCAGATGGTCCAGCATACAGGTACAAAGGTGTTTGGGGCCCAGTAGCAGTAATCCATGAGGAGAACTGGGGGAGGTGGGTAAAGAGGAGGCTAAGGAGCAGGTACTGGTCTACAGCAATTGAAGTGTAGCTAGAGAAATGACAGAAAAGACTCTTCTCAGCAGAGAGAGACAATAAACCAAGGGGCAGCAGACACAAGACCTGGCTTGGGAGGTTCAGGCTGGAGATGAGGAGAACCAGTTGCGCTAAAAGGGTGATGTAGCTATGGAAAAGTGTCCCATAAAGGTTAGAGAATGTCCATCATTGGTGGATTTCAAGACTTGGGTAGACAAAGCCATGGCTAACCCCATTTCAAGTGGGGTTACCTTTCAAAATGATTTCTCTGATTCCATGACTAAAATGTTTGTGTTCATCAGAGTCTGTACGTTGGTAACCCTCTAGAAATCTGGTATGTGATACAAGGAAAAGGGAGTGTTTAATTAGTTTCTGTGTACTTTAGAAACTGCTAAGCAGTTTACTTTAGTAGCCCAGTATTTTTTATTGCTCGTATTTTTCTTTATGAACCATTATGCATCATTGTTTTGTATTGACGCTCATGAATAGCGAAATGATCTTAATTTTCTGTAACAAGTTGCTGCAGTACTGAAAATAGTTCACAGCAGTAAGCTAGTTTCAGAATCCCTTATGAAGCAGTCTGTCTAAAGAAACAGTCTAGATCTCATCTTTATTTTCAGAATTACATTTTCTTGTATCACTTTGGAAAGGAAACCAATTACCTCACTTTTTTTTTCCTACCTTTAGTATAATCTTTGTTATATTTTGACTAAAACTTATGAAGTCTGATTCTTTTATCTGTATCTTTGTGCCTGATTTTGGAATCTTTGTAAAGCACTGATTTGTTATTTCTGGAGCTCATTGAAAGCAAACAGAACTGCCAACATTAGACTTTTTATCCTAATGGAGACCCTTCCAAATAAATCATTAACTGTTCAGTAATAACAGGATTTTCTATACATTATAAGCAGTAGGGTATTTTCTTTGCCTGATATCATCTTCTCCAGATGTGTACCAAGAAGGGATCCATTACAATGGGAATAAATAGACTCTTCCACTATTTTTGGCATATTTATTCCCGCTTTGGCCCCCTCCCTTGGGAGGCAATGATGCAACTGTGTTTTCTTTTTGTCCATGTATTTAACTGTATAAATTGGGAAAAGTTTAGGACTCTAAAAAACTATTATTTTTGTTGTGTTGGGTTTCTTTCTTCATGCCAACATAGCTCTAAGATATCAATAAGGGAAATACACTGGAAATGAGAGAACACAAGTAAATTAAATAGAATCAACTAATATAAAGTCTATGCTGCCCTTATAAGTATTTTCTCTTTGCCCATTACCATAATATATTTTTTGCAGATGTATCTTTTTTTTGCTTGCCTGTTATTTCTGTGCTTCTCTTTGTCTGGCATAAAGGAACATCTCTTTCATATTTCATCATGTCTCTTTTCCTACAGTTTTTGTCACATTTTTATCTATACCTTTCTGTGGGCACTCCATTAGTTTTCTCTAAATAATTGCCTAGGAGACAGTTTGTTTTCCAAATGTATCAAAACGTTGAGAACAGACCCACTGAAGTTTATTGTTGTTATTTACAAGTAGAGATAGGTTAAAAAAGCTGTTTTGAAAATGGAAAAAAATTTAAGAAGAATGAAACATTCTGAGGATGAATATAGAGTACTTTACTGAGCTAACATGTATTTAATCAGTGTTTATATAGCATGTTAGAAGTAGTCAGAACACTCCCATTTCTCTTGATACTAGTATTAGGAAGTGTTTTTTTTCCTGAAGACTATTCATCCCATTGCCTGCCTTTGTTTTTCAGATTGCTTGGGAATATGGAATACCATTTTTTGAAACCAGTGCTAAAGATAATGTGAACATTGAGCATGCATTCTCACTCTTGACTAAGGAAATACTGGAAAAGGTAGGCTTCTTTTTTTGTAAGTAGAAAGAATGGGAGATTTTTCTTGACAGATTGGGTAAACAAGGTTGTAAATACAGAACAGGCTTGGCAAAGCACAGCTAGTGCTTTTTTTTTTATATTATGGAGTTAATATAGTTGCAGGTATACAGTGGAGGAATGTGGGAGGAAAGAATTGTGGGAGAAGAGAAAAACAATAGAGGGGAGCAGGTAAAATACAGTTCAGAGAGAAAATGAAAATTCAGGACAACTGCTTTTGTGTCTTTCTTTCCCATGCTTTTCTGTAAGGGAGTGGTTAACAGCTCCAGAGTAGTTCCACTTCTGTGCCAGCATGATTCCCTTTTCCTCTAGGTTTCTGCAGAATGTGCACACAGTGAAGATGCTGTATGCTGATGTAATCAGTGGACCTTTTATGTTCAGCAGTCAAATGTTTTATACAAGGTTCATAGCTGTTTGTTTGGCTGATTTACACTAGTGCTTTTGAAGTTATGGTGACCTAAAGATTTGAGTTAATTAGTAGTGGAATCAATATTGTAGCTGTCAGAGTCAGCATCTCTAACTAACTCAAGTGCATTGGCTAAAAAGTCCTTATTTCTTGGAGTTGCAATACTTTTGTAAGACTGAATTATTGTTCATTAGCTCTGAAAATGTTTTGCATTGTAATTTATTTTTAGACAGTAGAATATTATTTTAGACATTAATAGATGTTCTTCATGCAATGCATTATCATCGCCATTCATCACCAATATTAGTTATACAAAACTAACCTTCCATTCTGAATACTTTTGAAGTCATAATAAAGATAAATGAGCAAAATTACTGACAAAGTCACAAGTTGCAGTGTTTTGATTAAGTAGCCATAGGGGATGGTCAGAATAATAGCTCTGGGTTGGACTGCTTCTAAGTCAAGGTCCTGTTGTATTATATAACACAAGCTGTAGTTGGTTATTTTGGGGGAGAAAAAAGAAGAAAAAAAAAATCTTTAGATTACTTTAGCATGAAAATGAAGCACAGCAACTTGATGGTCAAATATTGTTTAGAACAGGATGATAGAACAAGTCCTTGAATAGTTGGACAAAAAGTCTCAAATAAGATAACTGATTTTGTTGTAAATTGAGAAGACATTGCTGTAAATGGAGAATATATTGATATGTTAGTATGAAGCTTGTAAATACAAAACAATAGCTATGATCATAATTACTGCAAAAACAAATATGTGCGAAGTGAGCATTTCTGCACAGTGCATTTGGGTAAGATCTAAGAATTCTCTCAGTGTGCAGAAATGGCGCTTGGTTATTTCTAACATTTAAATTGCCTGCACTTACTTTAGTGTAAGTGGAACTTCAGTATTCCTACTCATCTTCATGAAAATTTATGCGATTTTTAGTGTGGACATGGCAAACAAATTCAGTCCATGTTGAAAATGTTATACTGCTGCATGGTTTTAATTAGAACTGCTTTGAACAGGTGTGTGCTCTGCTTGCATATGTTTGGGAAATATACTCATGAGAATTTGTCGAGTTTGTCTGTAGTAACACTTCACCTTAGCTAGAAATGTTTGGAATCCTGATGGGGCATCACATACCATTACTTTGGTGTATAATTTGCCATTTTTAGTGAAATGGATTTGCTGGTTTAAACAAGGACTCCTTTAGCCCGATTGGTTTTTCCATGGCCTGATAAGAGAGTTAGCAGTAAAAAAAAAAAAAAGATCTACCATAGAGTTTCATCATGGTTTTCAGGTTCGACAAAATAATTTGCCTGTTCACAAAACTGTGAAATCTGAATGTAGTACTTGAATTTTAACTTCCTCTAACTGATGAAATTTTGGAGAAGGGAAAATGCAGTGGGAAGTGTGACTAGTAGCTGTGAAAAATGACATGATAGGTGCCAGTCTGAGATCATTTTAGTCATATATCCATTCTGTAGTGGTGGAATATGTACTTGCTGATTGTAAAAAGGAGATACAGCTTTGCATAGTGTTTTGGCCCAAGACACCTATGTCTGATGGTATCAGGCTTCCCGTGGTTCTGCAGTAGGACCACCTCTCCCAGACTGATGAGATGCTTCAGTGGAAGCCTGTCATTGCTTTACCAGTCCCACAGAGGAAACTCATTTTAAGGAACTTCCTAGAAAAGTCTATTATGGCCATGCTTTTGGGAAGTATGTGAAGGTCATTCAGAGGTAAGATAAATGGTCAAGGCAGGCTGACAGGCAGCAGACCATTTTCAGATACATTGCAGTAGATTGTATTAATCTGAGGAAATCTAGGATTTTTTTATATACACTGTTGCCTACCATTTACTACAGGCATTTCTTTATTAACTAAATGTACAGAAAACACCTCTGTAGATGGTGAAGATCAATGTCCAGAGTTATAGAGCTCATACAGAAGTACTAAGTGTCTTGATTCTTTTGAAATTTAGAACAAGCTGTTGTTCAGTGGAGGACTGGGGTGAAAAAAACCATATTAAAATGTGTCAGACATTTAAACAAAGCAAAACAAGATAAAACAAAAGGCAGGTTTGTACTGTCACTATTTTGTGCTGCATTTTCCTATCTCTTCATTTGTAGTTTTTCTTGTAGTGAGTTTAAGGGAGAGAAAAGACTTTTGTATCCCAGCAATTCAGATAACTAAAGTACTGCTTGACGTTTCAGGTACCATCTCAGCCATTCTATGCTTAGGCTCATAATTTAGGCTCACTACAGCTCTAATTTACATGGGTAGTCTCACTAAAACCATCAGATGTTATTTGAGAGTTTACATTGGTAACAGCTAAGGAGTCATGCCATATTTCTGAGAACTCACAATGTTCAAACCAATCAGTTAATAGTAACTGAATGCAGTACTTTAATTTTAACTTCTCTGACTGATGAATTTTTGGAGAAGGGCAATAATAGCTGATTTGATTGTATTTGAAAGACTGCAGTGGAAATAGGTGTTAATGACAGATTATTCCAGAATATTGCTTAGACATGTTGACAAATAACAACAGTATTTTATTTATTCACAATTCTTACAAGTCTCAGATATGCCTAAACCTGTTCAGTAATAGATGACAGCTGTTCTTTGACAGTGCTTCTGGTTGCCAGTGAACTATTTGTACTTGCGAGTCAGTCCTCAAGAAACAACCAAAACCAAAAAAATACCTCCCAGAATGCAGTTAGCATTTGCATTTTTGTGTTGTTTGGTGTCATGGCTGACAAGCAGTACTTTTCTCAACTAGCTTTAAAAAGAAATATTACAAACCTTTGTATTTATGTATTTTTGTGGGTGGTTGTTGGTATTTTTCTAAAATAGGAGCAGGGAGGGAACTGTATTAAAAAAAAAAAAAGGAAAAAAAGAATGAAGTTTTCACCTTTTTCTGAAGACTGCCATAAAACTTAACTAAAACTTAAGTTCTGCCTATCTCCCAAACCGACTACTAAGATTATTTTAATCATATTAAATAAACATATATCTGCTGAGTAGAGAACAGTGAAAATCCACTTAAGACCTTGCCCTGTGCTGTTGAGAGCAACATTTAATGTTTAACAGCTGGATGCCATTTGAGATGAACATTCTGAAATAGCAGGCCTCAATTCTGCCCTTCTTTTGTTTCTTTACCTTTCTTTCCTATGGCAACAGATTTTTGAAATTACACTGTGTCCCATGCCTTTGCTCCTAGAGTACCTTTGTAACTTGTTAGCTGATTTTAAACAAATTTGACAGGTCAAATTAAAAGATAATTAAGCTCCTGAGGAGTTCTTGAAAATAAGGTGAGAGGGAGAGTACTCTGCAAAAGGAAAGTCTCCAGCATGAGGTCATACAGTGTTGGACAGAGACCACTCTATAGAGAGACTGAAAAATGCTTCAACCAGCCATTCCAGCTGGAACTTGCATCACAGATATCAAATTTAATTCACATCAAGACCCAAATCCATAGGAAATCGGATTTCATTATTGCTGAGGTTCATGGAATTGTTAGTTTGTCTAAAAGATCCCTGTGTCTCCAGCAGTGCATACTCAGTGTTTCTTTATTATCCTCAGTCATGCATGGAGCCCCAGGCTTTGTTTGCCCTTTATTTATCTTGTACTGACCACAGAATATTAATTCCTTCGAGGGGGTTTTCATAATGCTTGTAATGCTGTACTTTAGATCTATTTTAGATTTTTATCTCCATAACCTTCTTAGTAACATTAGGTAGTATATTCAGCTTTGCACACTTGGGAACCAAGGTACAGAGATTAAAGCAAAGAGGATAAATGGTACCAACTCACTTAGTGTTGTTGCAATGTAAGGCATAATTTAAGTACACTATCTTATTTAATTAAAAAAAAAAAAGTCTGTTCTGGACATTGAATGAGCTAGATATTCTTCTGGAAACAGTACCATATAATTAGGTTATGTAAATCAAAACTTAATCACAATGTCTGAATGTACAGGATGAGATTCATCTTGATGTGCAACCTTAGCCAGCTAAAATTTGCATGACTGGTCTGGTTGTCTGGAATCATCTCTATACAATGGAAAGAGATGAGTCTTTTTAGGATAAAATTTTGTTCTGGAGGTGCCTTTCTTTTTTCCTTGATTATAGGGAGTTCCACATATCAGCCTATTTCATGGGATTCAAATTAAATAAATTGAACTCCAGGAGACCAAAAGAATGTTACAGACTTGTCTCACTTCTGGCAGTTACTGCTTCTGCAGGATCTTGGTTTTGAAGATGTATTGCTCTCTTAAATAAGGTTGTTGATGTGCAACTATACTAAACCTTACCTAGATGATTTGTAGGGTTGAGGAACCTTACAGGAGGACCACGGCTGTCTTCTCAAGTTTGTGAAATAACTAATTGCAGTATAACATTGTTACAGTCTACCTGGTATTAACAGAAGAGGGAGATAGAGCCCCAAACTTTGCCAGTGGGTTAGATGTTTTAGACATGATGGAATAGCAGGTTTTGGGAGCAAGGTCTTCATCAACATTTCTTGAGGAACGTATTCAGCAGCAGTTAGATCCTACTCCTGTCCCTATTCCCACAGAGATTGCCTTCCCTGTTAATATATCCTTAGCTCATGCTTAGTACTGCTTGTGCCATGTCCTGCCCATTGCTGTTGTGGGAAGACTGTCTTGCATTTTGAACAAGTAGTTTGAATTACAGAATATAGGGAATGCACGGAAAGCATCAGGACTGTTCATGACTGAGCTTCCTCTACTGGCAGTTCAGGAACAAAAGTGACATGGACTTGGTTGCATCAAGTTCTCTGCCATGGTTTGTCAGTCTTTGTCAGCTATCATTGTTAAATATAAACAAAATGATTACAGTGATTAAGGAGGATCATTCTGTCATTAGAATAAAAATCCTCAAAATTTAAAGAATGTATAAATAATAGGAACCTCCGTTACAGTTCCTTCTACTTGTTTCTCCAAAGCTGCTAGTTTTTCAGCAAGCACTCCAAGCCTGACTTCGACTGGGGACTTGATAGAGTAAAATCCTGTCATTCTTCTAAACCCACAGTGAGCCTCACCTCTGAAATAACTAAACCAGTATCAAAATACCGAGAACTGATGCTTCAGTAAGTGAATCATCTGACTTTGTATGGCACAGTTGATCTGAGCAGTTTTTGCAGCAAGGAATGGTCAGCTGATCTTCATTAAGATTTACAGATTTACTCCATTAGAAGCCTTTCAAAGAGTTCATCTTTTCTTTTTGTTACATTTCCCTTTGTATACCACCTTAGCTTTCTTTCCCTGATTAAAAAAAAAAAAAAAATGGAATATTAGCCATCTCATCACAATTCCTGTGTCTAGGTGTCTGTTGTACGCCAATGATACAAACTCTGCTTAGAGCTGGGGAGGAGAGACAGCCGGGAGGGGAGACAGCAGGAAGTGTAAAACTGGCTTGAACAGATGCCTCTTTGTTAGGTGAGACATGTCTGGTGTGCTATTTAACAGGAAAAACTAGTATTTGATAGCAGGAAGTTTCAACATCTTACTAAAATCACTGCAGGGTGGAGTGGCATCTCTGTCTGTGGAGGTATTTTCAAAACCCCACTTTGCTCAAGATGCCAAAGTGGAAACTCAAGCTTCTTGGTACCATTTTGGTTCTTCTCATCTTTTTGCATCTCATTTCTGTTTGTTGGCTGACTTGTCAGGCAGTGAGTTACAACAGGCTGAGCTGAAATGTGAGCTGGAAGTGTTAGTGTTCATGGAGCCCTGGAGGAGGAATGCTGCCTGCCTTGTTCCCAGAGGTGGGAGAGATTTGCATAACTCCCTGCTGTAATTTCAGGAGAGGGGGTGCCCCACCTCTTCCAAGGCTTGGCTGAAGTTGAACACTACCTGGGGATTGCCCAAATCTGATCGTTGCTTCAGAGCTTTATGCAGGACTCCTCATATCTCTTTAGATTATGAATGTGGACTGTTAAAATCTGTACAGCACATTTGCTTAAATGAATCCCATGCCCTCATTTGCTTCACAAAGATCCTGTATGGAACAATCTTACCAGTCTTACCAAACTGAAGTGATTAAGAATCCTCAACTTTTACATTTTAAAATTTCAAAATGGATTTCAAAATGGCTCTTCTTTGTTTGTAGAGTGGTGGTTCTTGTCTTTCTGTGCTGGCTAGTCTGTTGATAAACTATCAGATAATGATCTTACAGATTATAAGAACCATTGCATTATCATTATGCTCCACCATTCTTAATTACTTACAGTACTGAGGATCTGTGCTAAGGATACATGAACAGCTTACTTGCCACCCAGAAGTACTATTAAGTAGTAAAATATTTGCAAATAAGCATCTTCAATGTTTAAGGAACATGAAAGTTTCTCCCCTTTCACTGAAAGCATGAAGTTTGATCCTGAAGTATAGCCTGCAACATCTTGAATTACCTGTTTCCTCTAAAGTTAAGTAAGTGAAATCTGAATTCTGAAACTGTTCAAACAGGGATTTTTCTAGAACTCTTTTAAGCTACTTAAACTGATTTTGTTTTCTCAGGAAAAAGCATGAGTGAGACAAAACATTTTTAGTTTATGTCCACAATAATCAGTGCTTAATGTTATTTCTTGGTCTCAAATGAGTGAATTTAAACTTCTTACTGTACCATTTTCTTCCAAAGTTTTCCCTTCAGAATCTTATCTGTAAACCAGCATGGTATCTTGTTCCTTGAGATGGCAAGGTTATGTTTGTGTACTTTGGATTCTGCCTTGCTCCCTCTTTCAAAAAGGTCTTCATACTTTATATTTACTGTCTATGCTTGCAGACTGTCAAATATTGTCTCTGCCTAATGTTAATACAAATGTTAATGGCTAATGCCTTTACTTGAGTACCTTACGCAACTGTGCAAAAAGTTAAAACTTATCAGAAGTTATATATCAGTGTGTTGGTATTTGTGTGAATTCTCAAGGGTAATAAAAATGTTATGTCTCTTGGTCCTTATCACTCAAAAAATAAAAATAATTTTAAAAACCCAAACAAACAAACAAAAAACAAGTAAAACTGCACATGCTGTGTTTCTTCATTATTTGACTAATGACAAGAAATTCCTAAAATCAGTAAGTCACAGTCTTATAGTACCCTACATTCAGAACAATATTTGCTAATAATTTACTGACGACAGCTTCGGCATCCGTCCTGAGGTTTAGACTCTACAATACATTTTCTGCCCTCAGCTCCTGCCTTTGTCCATGACTTCTGATGCCTTCCCAGGTTCATCTTTTCTCCCAGCACCTTGCACTGTGGAAGCATCCCTGGGTCTCTGCAGCCCCAGGGAGGATCAAGCTTAGCCGTTCTCTTCGTGGGGACGGCCCTGGCCCAGGGCAGCCAGCACTCTGGAAGAGCTGAAACTATGGCTGCAGAAGGAAAAAGGAAACAAATTTCATGCGTCCACTCCAGAATTTTAGGCAGCGAGAAGTATGCCCAGCCAAAAAGGCATCAGGCTTATTTGTAGCTTAGGGGAACTTTTTATTTTGCCCTCATTCTGATTCACCTGAGTAATTTTAGATGAATCCTTCTGGATGTAGTCAATGTTCAACTACCCTGTGACATTGTATGTGTAAGTTTTCAGTTCTGAATCGTGATTAGCATTGTTCATGATGACTTTTTTCCCTTTTCCTTTCTTTTTTCTTGTGCTTTGAATTTCATGAATTCCATCTTAGCTGTTGTTTCTGGAAGCTTTTCTTTATTGTCAGAAATTGTTGTTTATGGCTGTTGGGTTTGGGTTGAGATGAATGTGGTGAATCCAGTGGTTGCACTTACTTCTCTGTGTATCATTACATACTTGGTAAACCTTCCAAGACACAGGCAGGAGAATGGCAAGTAGAGAAGTTAGGACTTTTTGTTTCCTTGGCATGTGACAATATTCTCTATGTCTTTGTGCCCTTGTTCGGGGTTCAGTGTTACAGTTTCAGAGTACAGGATTGCGACATGTATTTGTACTGTATTGCACAACTGGGTTTGATTGTTTCTCTGGTCAACACTAATTATCTAGTCGAGTTCATTGCTGAAAGGAAGAGTCCTGGTTTTGATGATTTTTATTTTTGTTGTAATCTGCTTTTGCAATCAGTACATAAATGTTTTACAAGGGTGGAGTGCTATTTTGATAGTTTATCATGATAAAAACTGAACTGTTTCCATTTGGAGGTATTTGTGGTTATTAAATAGAGGCAAGAAAACAGAGAATTTTAGTGAATTTCACAAAACAAGGTAAAGCCCTTTCTAACAGTTAATAGCCTGTGCCTTTTTTGAGTGGGTACTGATACTCTGTATTTTCCTGTTCCTTTCAACTGGGCTTTTGCACCCCGTGCTCAATACTTCAAGGATTAATGCACTTAACTGAAACTACTGAAAATTGGTGTAGTCAACAGGAGAATGGGCACTTATAAACAGTTCATGTGAGAAAAGATTTTCAGGATAGCATGGTTTGTAGTGTCTCCTCAAAAGACACTTTCTATCATCTATCACCTTCAGAGTTAGGAGAGATGTTTGAGGCAGCTAAAGAATGTAAAGATGCCAAACCGGGACTTGCATGGGCTTCAGTTTCCATTTAATTTGTTAGAAAACTGCAATCTTATAATTAAATATTCAAAGACAAATATATCTAGTGACTTTACCAAATATTTTACATTAAAATACGTGAAAAAGCAGGCTTTTCAACTGTTGTATTCTAGTTATCTTAATTGTTTGCTTATGTTTGTTTTACAGAAATCCTGTGTATTATATGACTTAGATGTTGTGACTCTAAATGAAAGTAAGAAGAGAACCTGCTGTGCATTCTGAAATATTGTTTCGTGTTCCATTTTCTCTTCAGAAAATATTAAGTGTTGCAAAAGCACAAACAAGATTTTAAAAGCGAGCCTGTAATCCCAAAACACAGGTTTCAGGCATCCTTTGTATTACACAGACTTTGTTGCCAAATGTTTTTATATGTTTATATTATATTTTCATATTTTTAATGTGAAGATAAAACAGTTATCTGATATTGGAATGCATCACAGGATGACTGTGTTTGCATACAAATGTTTGCAGAAATGTAATGTAAGTGTACAAATTTTCTCTTATTAAAAAAAAAAATTACCTTGACTTTTTTTTCTGTGTTATTTATACCAGATTTGTAATGTAATGAACATTGACATCACCATCACACAGGCAATATTCTGATATATGAAATCATATAACATCTCTTTAAGCACCTGATATTTACTGCCATCTCCTAAGATAATTCTATGGAAATTTTTGGCTTTTGTTTCTTTTACATCTGTTTCAGAAACATATGTGTTACTTCAATAACCTTGAATAGGAAGGCTGCAAAGGTGAGGGCTGAGAAAAAAGAATAAACCATATACAAGACTTGTGCCATAGAATGGTTTGGGTTGAAAGGGAGCTTAAAAATCATCTAGTTCCAACTCCCCTGCCATGAGCAGGGATGCCTTCAACTAGGGTATGTTGCTGAACCTTCCTAAGAAGGCAGAAAACAGAGAACAACACAATCCTGTAATACACATCCTGTAATAATCATCTTTCTCATATGAAGTTGTATAATTCTTTAAAATAATTCATGCAGGTATTAGCAGCATACCTGTATTTTCAAACGTTCATTTTGTCACAGATGATTGCTATATAAGGGTTTGTTTGATATTGTGACATATTCATGTTATTTTCTTAAACTATAAATAGATTATACTCATACATTGTATGAGTATAATGATTCTGCTCATTTAATCTGCATTATACTGCTTTGTAATATCTTTAATTTCAGTGGAGGATATTAGATTTAATTTAAAAAAAATTAAATGAGGGCAGAATCGTTGCTGGTTACTTTTTGTTTAATCAGAGGCAAAGAGAGCACAAATCAAACTTGCAGGATACAAAATGAAAGGACAGATTGGGAAATCTGAAGAATTGTGGTGACTATATTGTCATTTTTGTGGGGGTTTTTTTTGTGTGGGAGATGCAATTCTTTCTGATTATTAAATTTGTTTTATCATTATTTGTGAATGAATAATGCTATGCGAAATTCTGTCGTGAGCTATCCCAGCGTATCCAAAATAACTAGCTCCACTGGCTTACTGTTCTGGAATGTCACTACGCTCCTGAAATATGCCTGATTCTTTTTTGGGGGGCTGTTTGCAGATTGTCATAATATCAATTTATTATTAGAGTTGGTATTGAGACAGGGAGCTCTAGTGGAAAATGCTTTCTGAAGCACATGGGACTGAATGTGCTTGAGCATACTGCCAGGTTTGTGTGCCACTAGCCCAGTTAGTGTGCTTGCAGAAAGGGTGAGAAAGGATGGGAAGGGCTACATATTTACAGCTGCTCCTGACTACTCACCACGGGCAGTCACTTAAGGCAGCGTTTATTGCAAAATCTGAAAACAAGGAACAAAGGATAATCCCTGCCTTCGTTACAACCATAGCAGAGGAAGGAAATAGTGCTGGAAGGGATTTTGAGAGGCTGTCTAGGTCCTCATCCTATCTCAGCCTCTGATCAGCTGCCCCTGCTGCACTGCAGGAACATGGTTAGAGACTTGGAGTGATAGAGATTTCAGAGTGGCTACCATCCTTACTTAACTGGCTTGGCAGGCACGAAATCTCTTATTACCTAACTGGTACACAAGGAAAGTAAGTTCTCCCTTTTGCCTTCCCTTCCCTTCCCAAACCTAACCTTCCCTCCCAAACCATCCCTTCCCTTCCCAAACTTTCCCTTCCATTCCTAAACTTTCCCAAACCTTCCCTTCCCAAACCTTCCCTTCTCCTCTTCTCACCAGAGAACTCCTGTCCCTTCTACCTTCCCAGTCCAGTCTATCAAAAGATCTTTGACTTACCTATGTGTTTTGCAATCTATTTCTTCATTTTTCTAGCCTAAGCTCTTAGACTTTTGTTGGTGGTACTAGTAAGTGAAATCACATTTGCCTTCTAAAACTGAAAACTGAGGTTAAAAAAAGGCATTAAGGATACTGGCATCTCAGTATCACTAGTCCTTAAGTGATGATTAAATAGGTTTCCCCCTGTATGGAATAATAGACCAATTTTTTCCTTGGCCTTCTCATCTTATCAACATCCTTGCTATCTTTTAAATCCAATTTTCTAACATTTTGGGACTATCTTTCAACTTTTGTCCATACATAATCTATAAATTTTTTCATAATTTAGTAATTTGATGAACTTTCTATTTTCCTTCTGGTCAATGAAGATCAGATGATTCAACCAACTTAGTCTTTATTTCACTTCCTCCTCCTCTGTGTAGATCAAATTCTGCAGTGTTGCCTTTCTGCTGTGGATCTCTGATGAACTTTTAGTTGTCCTGAACCTGCAGAAATTTAGCTACTAGTTCTCTGAGTTTGTCTCCATTAAATTCCTCCTCCTTTTCCTAACAATGAAAATAGATAAAAAAGGGCTAGACTGATTTGTAATTTTGATTTCTTCTCTTTGTAACTAATGAGAATTTCAACTACAGGAATTTCTTCTTGCGGTGTTTTCTACTTCTTGTGGCTTAGGTATGATCCAGTTACTGGCGCACCTTACTGAGATGCAAATATTCAGGTTCGCCTAACACTCCAGGTACCATGAGTGTTCTCCTTTTCACATCTCCTGGAGCAAAACAACTGCCTTTTTCTAAGCATATGCATTGTGGATTACATTCAGAGGAACGTACAACTGGGGAAAAACTGCTGCTCTCACTAGGAGCAAAAAACCTCCTGCCAAACTGGGACATGCTGTGTTTGAAGGCATTCTCGAACTAGAAATAAGGATGTAAGTTGAGAGTATTGTCTTCATTTAGTTCTCTAAAAAGCTGGCTGGATGACAGTGTTGCACAAATTCCCACAGATGGAATTTTTAGCTTCAATAAAGGTTAAATAAGGGATTTGACTTAAAAAAGGAGGACACCTCTTACAGTGAAACGGAAGATAAAAGCTGAATGCTCACACCAGACCCTCAGATATCTTTATAATACCTTGCATGAGCGAAGATTGCCTAGATTTTGGCAGTAATACAGGAATAGTGTTCTTTTTCAAAACATGAGATGTGCAGATATCAGCTGTGTCAAATGCATTGTTCTCTTTCCCCTTCCCCCTTTGCCTCAGGATCCCCCTGGGTCTGTGGACTGAAGCCAGTTGTATGAGGCCCAATGAGGAGAAGTGCCAGGTCCTGATCTTTGGTCACAACAACCCCCTCCAGCACTACAGGCTTGGGGGAAGTGTGGCTGAAAAGTGGCCCTTCAGAAAAGGACCCGGCAGTGCTGGTCAACAGCAGCTGAACATGAGCCAGTAGTGTGTCCAGGTGGCCAAGAAGGCCAATGCATCCTGGCCTGTATCGGCAATAGTGTGGCCAGAAAGACTCAGACCACCAAGTCACCCTGTACTTGACACTGCTGTGTCAAGTACTGTGTCCAGTTTTGTGCCCTCACTCCAAGAAAGACATTGAGGTGCTGGAGTACGTCAAGAGAACAGAGTTGGTGAAGGGTCTAGAGGGTGTGTCCTGTGAGGAGTGGCTGAGAGAGTTGGGGTTGCTTAGCTTGGAGAAAAGGAGGCTCAGGGGTGACCTTATCCGTCTCTACAACTGCCTGAAAGGAGATTGTAGCAAAATGGGAGTCAGTCTTTTCTACCAGGCAACTAGCAACAGGAGAAGAAGACATGGTCTCCTGCCAGAAGAGGTTCAGGTTGGACATCAGGAAGAATTTCTTCATGGAAAGGATTGTTAAGCATTGGAATGGGCTGCCCAGGGAAGGTGGTGGTGTCACCAGCCCGGGAAGTGTTCAAGAAATGATGGGACAAGGCAATCTGTGCTGTGGTTTACTTGGCATGGTAGTGTTCAGTCAAAGGCTGACTTGAATGATCTTGGAGATCTTTTCCAGCCTTAATGATACTCTGATTCAGAGAAAGTTAGAGATTTAGGACCTGCTTCTGAAGTGATCGCTGCATCTTCTGTTATGTCCCATTGGACTTGTAAATATTTATGAAAATCAGGCCTATAAAGGCAAATCACATGTAGGAAGAAGGAATGCAAATTCGTAGGGTTTTTTTAAAGAAATACGAACTATTATAGCGTCACATGAAACTTACTGTATAAAGCTCAGTTTTATTTGATGTGTGCATACTACATTGTAGAGCATGTTCCCAGATACATAACTAAATTCAGTTTGTAGTTCTTTTTCAGATGTTAGCATTGGCAGTGGAATAAATATTTACTAGAGATTTTACAGCCTGCTGCATAAATGTGTTGTGAAATCAACATGAAAGTCAATTCAAAATGCATTTGAGAATAATTTCAGGAATTATTCTGAGTCCCTCTGCTACTGCTTATGGTTTTGAATTTGCTGTTGATTCATAAATAGTGTCTCTGAACACCACCTGAAAAGCACATGCAGAAAAACTAAGGTGTTGCATAACTGAGGCCCTGGCCCTAAGGTGGACCTGCTCACAGCGATTCCTCTCCGGGTCTGGTGGCTTCGTTAGCATTTTGCACCAGTAGGAGACTGGTAAGAGATCACACTCAGGGACTAAGGCATTGCTAGACATCAGAGAAATTTTTATCTCCAAAGCGTTAATTACACATAAGGTGCAGTTAAAACAAGAAATCTTCTGAGGCTCATATGTGCTGATGATTTGCATGGCGTGTATGTAATATTAGAATGTATTTCAAGAAGATAGAGCTGTAGTACAGTTAGGACACATAACAAAGTCACTCTAAGCGTAAGAGCAAGATATTTAAATACTAGTAAGCTTTATGATATCTCTGCTGGAAAACAGCTGCATGAAATTCAGATAACATCTAGAAGTTAAATTTTTTTTAAAATCACCTTGTTCCAGTAAAATGGCTAAGAGTGGGCTGGATTTCCACTGGTTGGAGAGAACACAAACACTTCTGTAGGAAGACAGACTTAAAAGCCATAGGACTTCTAGTACCATCTGAAGAATGAAAAAAATCTTTCAAGAAAAATCAGCAGTGACTATTTCTATGCAAAAGATGCTTTTCTTCCCAGGTAGCAGAAGTGCATGATGTCCGAGAGAAGCATACACTGTGAGATGGTATCGGTATCTACCCTGGAATTAATGCTACCCAAGATAGTGTTAAAGAACAATTCTTGTAAGACTAGTGCTTCAAGTCCTGGTGAATCCCAGTCTGATCTGATCTACTTTGCCTTACGCACTGCACCTGGTAACCTTGTCAAACCTGAACGAGTTAAACTTTTGCTTTTGTTTTCCATATTTCAGCAATAGTGCTGGAGTTCACTGATGACACAAAGCTGGGAGGAGTGGCCAATACCCCAGAGTGCTGTGCAGCCCTTCTGAAGGACCTTGGCAGGTGGGAGGGAGGGGCAGAGAGGAACTGTCTGAAGTTCAACTAAGGCGAATGGAAGGTCCTGCCCCTGGGGAAGAATAACTCCTTGCACCAGCACAGACTGTGGGCCAACTCGTTGGAAAGCAGCTGTGTGGAGAAGGACCTCTCTGAAGGGAGGGTGTCAAGAAGATGGGGCCAGGCTCTTTTCAGTGTTGCCAAGCAGTAGGGCAAAGAGGCAACGTGCTCTGGGATGACCGTGCTTGAACAGGGAGGTTGTACCAGACGACCCCTATGCTCCCTTCTAACTTTACCCATTCTGTGATTCTGTGCATTACTTTGCACTTCCGTAGCTTAATTCACTGAAGTTTTCGGTGAACTTTGTGAAAGAGAAACTACTTTTAAAAGAAGTGTATTTTCAAAGCTAAATTTTTGAAAATTGTTAAAGCTAACTATTCTGGTAGGTAGGATCTAACAGCAGCATGACTGAGTGTAGAGAATGAAGGTTTTTCATAGTGCTGGGAAAACCCAGTGTCCAACTGTATAGCTAAAGCATGGACCCACAGCAGGATGAGGTTCAAACCAACCCAGATCCACTTAAGGCAAGATAACTTGGGTTTTCTGTAATCTTCAATGCTGACTGGCTACCACAGTCTTTGTTTCATCATGGAGACCATGGATAAATTCCCAGTCTCTGCAGCAGAGCAGAACAAGAGCGTATCTGTCTCAGCCCTCCTTGTGCTGGCAGTGCTGTGGCACGAGCAGTGACAAAGGCACGCAGCAGTGTCTGGCCCTTCATCCAGGGCCTGAGGAAGGGCAAGTGGCAGGAGGGCTCTTTGTACTGCAGTTCTTCCCTGAGCTCTGACATCCCTGGCAATCTCAAAGATAGATACTGCAGAAGATGGAGTCTGGAGAGAGATGCTGGCTGTGGATGTTGTCAGTCGTTTTCCTAATCACTGCAAGGCACTTTTATGTTTCTACTCAACAGTACAGCCTTAAATGTAGCCAAGTTTACTGCAGTAAAATAAACAGTTTTGACACAGAAGTGAACAAAATAAACTTAAGCACAGTACAGTTGTAACCACCCAGGAGTTAGCTTTTATGGTTTAATTTCCCAGAGTTTCTGCAGTCTGGCAGTCTGGAGATCAAAATGCATTAAAAAAAGGATAACATTAAATATCTTGTGAAGATCATATAAGACTTCATCACACAAGCCACTTTGAAGAGAGAACGCGTAGTTGATTACACATTTTCCCATGGTCTGCAGACCTTTGAATACGCAATATATGCAATACTTGCATGTGCAGTAACAGTGACTTCTGTGCACCGCTCTGTATACATGAATTCACACGGACGTGCGTGATTCACAGGTGAAAACCAAAGGATGCATAGTGGGAGTGCGGGCTGCACGTCGGGCGAGCGGTCGGAGGGTGGAGTGAGAGGGACAGGCAGTGCGGCTCCGGCGCTCGGTGTCTCCCGCCGGGCGGGCGGGCGGGCGGGCAGCCCGGCACTTTCCTTTTCGGCGGGGAGGAGCGGCAGCTGCGCAGGCGTTGCTCGCACCCTGTTGATTAGTCAGTGCTGGGATGGCGCTTCCTGGGCCAGGCGCGGCGGCGGCGGCGGGCGGCCCCAGCCGCTCCCGGGGGGCGGCGGGAGCAGCAGCAGCAGCAGCAGCAGGAGCCGCGCAGGCAGCACCAGCCGCCGCCGCAGCGGCAGCGGGCGCCCGGCGGGCCTCCCTCTGTGCCTAGCCCCGCGTGTCCCGGGGCGGCTGGCGCTCAGCGAGCCGGGCTCTCTCCCTCCCTTCCCTGCGTTCCCGCTCCGCCGCCCTCCCGGCTGGCAGCCGCCCCGCCGGGTGGGAGCACCTCGCCGGCGCTGCCTGTCTGGCTGCTCCCTCCCCTCCCTTCCCGGGCCGGGAAGATGGACCCCGGCCCGCCCCTGGGCTGCAGCCTCAAGGACGTGAAGTGGAGCGCGGTGGCCGTGCCCCTGGACCGGCTCGTCAGCACCTACCGGCTGCCCCAGATCGCCCGGCTGGACAGCGGTGCGTGGGGCGGGGAGCGGGGCCGGGCGGGCGGCGGGGTCACTCCCGGGGCGGGCTGCCCGACCCCCTCCCGGGGGGCACCCCCTCTCCTCCCGCAGCTCCCGGGACTGCTCCCGTGCGGTCCTTGAACTTGGCGTCTGCCGTCACCGCGTCTCGGTGCGAGGCTTCGGCTTGCGTCGGAATCCGTGCGTTGCTTTGCATTAAAATACCTGGGTAATATACCCCCCGTCCCCCCTCTGTGTGTGTGTGTAGGGGAGCTCGCTGGAGCCTGTGTGCTGTCAGATGCCTGCCCTACTGAGAGAGGTCCTCGCAGTCCCAAATTAAGCGTAGAAGGGCATTTTCAGCACTGGAGACCCCGTGTTGCGATGAAGTGATGCTACAAGAAGGCCAAATAAAAAGGGATATTAAGTAGCCAAGTGGGCTAAATTCCAAGTGTTACACTGCACTGAGAAAGCCACGGACCTGTAAAAAGGGGAGTAACGTAAGAAGCCGTTACAGTCTCCAGATAACTTTTTTTGTTACAGTTCACTTGGGTCACACCTGTGGTTTCCAAGTCTGCGGCTTTTTGTTTATTCCAGGAAATAAGAAACAAGCCTGACAGAACAGCTATGACAGCAGCATTTTACTTTTCCTAGATCCGTGTCTTAGAAAGTAATGTGTTTGCACAGAGAATTAGGGAAAGACGGGAAAATTTTTATGAAGGCTCAGACAGCTGCTTTGTAATAATGTGTATGTGCATTGCATGGTAGCTCCATGAAAACTATCCAACTCTCTAAGGGAATGCAGAAGATAACTCATAAATTGGGAAAAATTTCCAGGCTTTTTAATTCATTAGCTTGTGAACTCACCATGTGCTAATACAATGTAATAGAGCGGTTCTTGATTTATCAAGTTTTGTATTGAATTGAAAAGTTAAAAATGAGCACAGACATCGTCCTCTGTTACTCCCCATATGCAGGTCAAGACTAGGACTGGTTTATTACTTAACTGCAGTATCCGTAATCCATTGATGATTTTTGACTTTGTCCTTTGATTATGCAGTACATTTTCCTTTCACTTGTAGTGCTTCCTCAGAGCTGGCACTCTGAGAGCAGGTTAAAGAAAAGCTTTTTGCTTTTTTAACTGCATCTGACTGTTCTTCATGCTGTCAAGGGTGTGTTGTCCTGTGAGAATGGCAAAGCTGGTATGTTAAGGAGTTCCTCGTAGTAATACCTTCTGTCACTAGACACTGCTAAGATGGCCTCCAGTTACTGCACTTAAGGCTGTCAATTTACTTGAGGTTCCTGGCAGTGATTCAGGCTTTAACAGGATGTATATATTGATGACTTATTAATTTCCCTCTCTGTGTCTCATACTTCCCAATCTCCCCACTCCTGTTGTCTTGCTTCATTGGAAGGGATCTGAAAGAGCTTCGTAGGTGGAGAAAGTTTATGGATTTTGAAGCAAGCAATTTTTTAATTTTTTTGGGGGGGGGAGGGGTCTTGGTTTGGACCTGGGGATGGGAATATTCCATATTGTTGGGGAGATGAAGATGGTGCGGATTTTGGGCAAAAGCTTTTTTATCCCATATGCCACACTTCAAGCATACGCACAGGCAAGTGGATGTAGACAGACCTGAGCTCTTTTGTCCATGCCCTGAGATGGCCAGACAGGAGGCAGATGTTGGTATAGGTGTCCTGCAAGTAGTGGTTCAACCCCACACTAAGCCTTACCAGGAGGCAGGCTCAAGTATAGCTCTGTGTGAAGGGCTTGAGCTTGGAGCTGGTTGAGGTCTAGCCAGTTCAGTGGCTCTTGAGTCTTGTTTTACCTACTCATGTGGATGTGCTTTTAACTTCTGGGACTGCAGACGGCAGACAAATCAATATTTTATAAAGAACGCAGACGCCAGGGTCTTGGTGATATGAACACTTTTCCTTTTTCCACAGGAGATTGTCTTTCAGTAAGAGAAAGCAACTACGAATCAGTGCATAGTCTTCTCAAGGAGGAAAGTTAGGAATGTTCAATGTTTGTGGAATTGACTGGAGCACGGGCTGTGGATGGATGGTTGCTCTGCATCCCTGTCCTTGTCTTGCAAAGCTAACAAGTGGAGCTCTGTCAGAGAATTTTTTGGTGCAACACTGAAAAAAATAAATGCAGAGTCGAATCCAAATGTGGGTCATCCAATGCTTAGGAAGTTTAAGGCTATCTCTGTTAACAAAGTAGCTCTTGTGTCAGTTTTACCAGGGTGCAACTCTTGTCTCTGGGTCAGGGTTCATTTACACAGGAATGGCCCATATCTCTTCTTTAGATGCTGACTTTTTCTCTCCAGATCAGTGGAAGCTGCCTGTGTTTTGTGCTGTTGGAAATCAAACCACCTGTAGATGTCTGTCTTCAGTCACCTTTTGATTCTGTGTTTGGTCTCTGTAGCAGTGAGTTGTTTCTAGGTTGTTTCAGTTATGATGAGGTTTTGTGAAAGCCAGAATTTGTTTCTTCTGTTGAATCAGGATGTAGGAGAGGATTGTAGAGCTGGAGTCATATTTTCTTCAGAAGACGTGAGTCTTACTGTGTTGTTTCTACATTTCTTAATGGACTTTAGCACTAGGTGGGTAATGTTCATAGATGATACTCACAGAAGATCCCGTTTTTCACTGTTGCTTCACCTTGAAGCCTTTCAGTTTGAAGGGGTAGAATGGGTTTGATGAATGCAGTTTTATTCTTTGAACTTGGATGTGAGGCTCCTGGAAAAATGCCCTTAAGTAATTCAGTTTGATTCCTTGACAGGATGAAGTTATGAAATATTTATGTGCACTAAATTTGGTCCTCTGCTAAGAAGGGAGGGTTTTTCTTGATAGTATGGGAGGAAGTAGTCTGTTGTTACATCAAGAAACAGTTGGAAATAGTTAGGCATTGGTGCCTACCTTATCCATCTAGAAATGATAAATATGTCAATGATAAATATGTTCTCTTTTTTTTTGGTATTAAAATTGAAGACTGGTGTTTCAGGTTATGCTTTTGGATAGTTTAATTCATAAATCAAATTTTGCTTGTTTTATTCTGTTCATGTGTTTTAACATTTTGCTGGTGAATATTATTCTATTTATTGAACAAATAGACTGAAAAAACCCAAATTTGTCTCTCTTGAGATGAAACAAATGGTTTTTATTTTTTTTTTCCAACTTCTATAACAAATATTTCTAGACGATAACTGAAATACAAAACCGCTAAACACCATAACAAAGAAAATGCATGGGCTTTATTTCACACTTGGAATTCACTGAGTGGGCTCTTTCAGATGAAAAGAAGGAAGACTTTAACAGCAAGAGAGGAGTGAACTTTGTGCTGTGTTTTTCTTGTCCTTTACCCCCCCCCCCCCCCCCCTGCCCCCAGTCCTGATTTGCATTGTCACAGCTGAATCCCACCCCAGTGAGAGACTTGTGGGTGGGTACTTGTGGGGGAAAAGATTTTGCTGTGGGAACCCTCAGCAGAAAGAGATCTTATCGGAGTGTGGTGATTGCAAGAGGGCAAAAGGTGAGCATCGCTGGTCTGTGAGAACCAGGGGTGCACGTGGGGCTTGACTTGGCTTGGTTCTCCTTAGACCATCAGTAGAAAAAACTGATGTCAAAGCTGTGACTGTGTCTTGTTGGTAATGTGGAAACGATGTTGTGCATGGTTATCTCAGGGCTTTAAATTTCTGGTAATTATTTTTCTAAGCATAATTTTGGAGGGTGAAAGAGAAATGCTATCAAGGTTAAGATCTGGAAAATGCTGCTTTGCATAGAGCTGAGCTTCAGGCCAAGCATTTTTTGTAAGCTCACTGCTCTCTTCAGACTCCCAAGAGTCTGTCATTTTTTTTCTTGGTGGAACTCCCTTTTTCCCAGATAGTCTTGCTGTGTTTCCAGAAGTAAAGAGCAGCCTTTGCTAGTAGGTAGCAGATATGAACTGGAAAAGTTTGCAGAAATTCACAGTTTGTGTACAAAGGCTAAAATTTCCGGGAGTAAGAGGGCACGTGGTCCTCTGTTTTTTTTATTTTTTTTTCACAAGGGATAAATGTATTTATGCATGCTCTTAAAAAAAAAAAAAGTTTATGTTAGGGAACCTGGTGTTCTTGGGATCAAACATAGTGGTACCACTTCTCAAGTCATAAAGAAATTATTGCCTACTTTGCATGGTGGGGAAATCATGCTGAACTTTCCTGGAAGTGAGATCATGGATCTTGATGAGCCGCTGAGACTGAAGGAAGTTCTTCCCTATGCATTGCAAATGTGCTGTATGATGAAATGACAGAATTAGTGGCTATAAAGAAAGGAAAAATCTGTAAAATGGGTAACAAGTTTAAAAGATGGTTTCTTCTTTCTTACCCCAGGACACCTCTTGTGTGTATCAGCAGTGGGTGAATACTGAGTTTGTGCTCCTGTTGCTCCTGGGGATGAAGGGATTTTCTTTATTTATTTTATTTCAATTTCTCTTTTTCATTTCAAAACTTTATTGTGGTGACCTCTGTCTACTCCAGTCATGTTCAGGGGCCTATTGTTCTGTGCAGCACATTACTGTAGAGCTGATTCCAGTTCCAAATATCTGGAAACCTCACATCTTATCAAAGAACATCGTACTCAAGAACAGCGTGGCCGTGTACATAATGAAAATTTTGCATTGCGTCACTCCACAAGTGCAGGTTATCTGTGAAGTTGAACAATTCTTCGAAACTACAGAGACTTACTCTTTAAAGCTCTGAATGCTGCTGTCTGTGCTTTAATTGTCTTGAATGACCTCCTTCTTTTGAGAAGCTAGTGCAGGGTGTCTCAGTAGTCTGTTACTGGATAAATCTTTAGAAGGCATCGTGTGGGGGTAGGGCAAAGCTTTTAGGTGGACCAAGAAAAAGGTTTCAGATATGCTCAGACCCTGGGCAATGGCCATGATCTAATTGCCCACTCTAGGAGTGGCCATCTTGTGTACTGTGGTGTGGTAGGTGACAGTTCTCATATATTGGACAGACAGACGACTGTCTCTGATTTGAAGGCAAA